TGGTTTGTAGAGATAGTAATTACTTTACTTTTTAAACAATAAAAGGAAAGAACATCAGTTCAGAAGCATTTTTTAAAAGTCCCTTAACAAACAGTATAAAATGAAGTATAACTAAAACAGTTCCATCCAGTCTGATCACAATCTTAATTGTGGGAGTCAAGGGAAGCAGCATTGCAAGCAATAACTATCCCATTTCCCTTATCAAGCTTTACATAATAAAGAAAAATTCCACATTGTGTACTACCTCATTCTTTTCACAGATCTTTGCTTTGTCGCTTTTCTTGGGGACTTGTGTGGCAAGTATGAATCATCAGAGTCTGTCCTCATTGAACTCTCCTCAGAATCTCCAGAAAATTCACAATCCAGCAAACTATCATCACTAAACCGTCTTTTTCTGGATTCACGTTCACTGAAATATAAGGGTCTTGCCACATACTCTTTGGAAAGCAAACAGTTGCTTTGCTTTTGTGTGTTGTTTGGTAAATTTATAGTCTTTTCAGAACAAAAAGCAAAAGTATTTGTCGAAGCTTGTGCAGGGCAACTTGGAGATTTACTAGAATTGTCAGTAGGTGTAACAGAACTACCATCACTGTTTGAAAGGTTCATCAGTGATCTTGGTTTACGTCTGTGTCTAATAACAACAACACTCTCTTCTGTAGTTGTTTTTGGATTCGTAGCATCCTTTTCTGAAGACTTGTTCTCTGGGCTACACTTTGTAGAGATAAAAGGGGAATGGTTTTTAGAGCAACTAGGCTGTACAGTAGTTATGGCTTCATCGTGAATTTTGCTTTTTTCCCCAGAATGTCTTGAAGGTTTTTCTTCAGGTTCGGGTGATGATTCTCCAAACAAATCTGCCATTCTTTGAGAGTATGACTTGGATTTTGTATTTTGTTTTTCTTTTTCATTTCCATTCGGTCGTTTGCTATTGATAGTTGCAGATTTAGTTTTCTTCTGCTCCTGATACCTTTCATTTTTCATTTCTTGAACTCTCCGACTACTTCGTCGGATAAATTCAGAGCTCTGTGCATTTCTGGTTCTGTAACCATCTTGCTTGGTCCTCCGCCTCTGGGGACTAAGACTTCGTGATCGTCGGTCCCGCAAACGAATACGGATTTTATCTTGATGAGAGAGGCGTTCAATTCTCCCACTTCTACCACTGAGTAGCTCTGAAGGACTGCGTCTCTCGGGCAAATGAGAGAATGATTTCACAGATGATAAGTGTCTGCTGCTATACACTGAACGTTGATAGTGGTATGATCGAGATTCCACTGAAAGCCTGTTTTCATAACTGTCAGTTTTCTTCAAAGGAGTCTTCTTAAATTTATGGTCTGGCATCTTGCTGCCGATAGAACTTGCTGTATTTTTCATATTTACTTCTTGTTTTGCAATGCAATGTGAAGGGCTGCCTGTATCCGTAGGATCTACAAGATGTAATACAACTGACTTAGCTCTTCGACGAGGTTTGAATGGACACTGTATAAAAAGATTTTCATTTGACCAGCAAGGCTTGTTTATATTTTCAGATAATTGTTTTAAAGTTGGAATCTCTCCTTGACTGTTTTTAGAAAGATTTAGATTGGGTTGACTGTCCACCTTTTTTAATAGCAACACATCTTCCGAACCTTTTGCAGTCTCTTCTTGACTGTTCTTAATAATATTTAGATTGGGTTGACTGTCCACCTTTTTTAATAGCAACACATCTTCCGAACCTTTTGCAGTCTCTTCTTGACTGTTCTTAATAATATTTAGATTGGGTTGACTGTCCACCTTTTTTAATAGAAACGCATCTTCTGTATCTTTTGCAGTATCTCCTCGAGAGTTTCTAGTAAGATTAAGGGGTCGATTGTCCCCCTTCTTTAATGGAAACACATCTTCTGTACCTTTAGCAGTATCTCCTTGACAGCTTTTAGTAAGATTTAGGGGTTGATTGTCCACATTTTTTAATAGAAACACATCTTCTTTACCTTTGGACACACAATGTGTGCTCTGATTTTTCATTGGGGTTGGTGGTGGCGAAGTCAAAGGTAAGGGTGGTAGAGGCTTAGGAGCTTCATTGGGTAGTGGAGGCTGAAAACATATTTGCCCAGTTGAACTAATTTTATCCGCAAAGTCTTCTTTTTCTGATGGTAAAGCTGGTAAGTCTACAGATGGTTGAGTGGAAGGTTCAACTCTTTCTGATAAACCCTGGAGGACAATTTTTTGACTTGTAGAGTCACATTCCACATTAACTGAGCAACTTTGGGACTGGTCTGGCACTGAGGTTTTTAAGTGGTGTAAACCATGTACATTCTTTTCAATTGGAGGTGGCACGATGGCTACTTCAACTGGACTGTTGAGATTAATACTAGACTTTAAAGATTCACTCATGCTGGAAGCCAAGATTTTGGAGGGACTGTTTCCTAAAAGACTGCTTTTAGGCACAGTGCAGTTTTCAGAGTTTGCACTTTGGTAAGCCCCACTTGAAAAATGGGAGTTTATCTTGGGCTTCATTGCATCAGGACTTTGAGATATGTGGGAAGCAGTTGAAGGTTCTTGACGATTATCATTCTTTAGTAGCTTGGACAGGGTTGCCCCCATTTCCCTTATTGAAGGTATGCCTGAAATGCAATTTAGCCTAGGTTCACTTGTTTTATTTTCAGGCACAATTTCTTTATCTTCTATCTTGCACTGGTCTTTTGTTCCTAGTCTTTCAAAGACACTCTTCTTCAGAGGGGCTTTAACTTCTTGGATTTTATCCTTTTCTTTATTTTTTGGTGGTACCACACTTTCCTTGTTGACAGGAGGCTTCTCTTCAGACAGAATACTGAATTCTGGTATTTTCCTTTTTTTAGGGATTGTCTTAATGGGACTTTGCGTCTTATTTTCGTTTGAAGTTTGGCTTTGCTTTTCTCTTAGTAAAGAACATTCCTGAGCAAGAGCTTTATCAAGAACTAAATTGTTTGAGAAGTTAGTAGATGATGGCAGACCAACATCAATTTGGTGAGATACATCCCTCCCTGAAACAGATGAAGTTCTGGATTGCTGTATGTCTGGTTTCGACACATCGTCAGTCATAGGAGTGCATTTGTTTCCTGCAGCAAATAATGGCAGGCCAGAACATGAGTTTTGTTTGGAAACATCAACTTCATTTGTATTAGGCAAACTAATAGTTGAAGTTAATGATTGATGAGTAGAATGCTGCAACTCTGGTTTAGAAATATTACCTTCATTTGCAGAAGGCATATTTCTTTCAGACACAGTTGGCTGACTGACATTACGCTTTTTGGCAGTTCGTCGAAAAGCTAAGTTGTCCAATCTGAAAAATTAACATTGTTTAAACCACAAACTATTTACAGCTGATCTGCTTAGAATTTGCCTAGGTATATACTTACTCTCGATAAAGTTCAGCAATTTTGGTATCTTTGCGTTTTACTTCAGCTGCAGCAGTTTTGTAGAGAACTGATATGTTGCATGAAATACTTAAGTTTTCAGCAATTAGTTTTTCATTGTGACTACGTAACTGTTCTAAGTCAGACTGTAGTTTCTGAAGTTTCATTTTCATGGCTTCACATTCTTCATTTTGCTGTAAAACAAAGAAAATGTAAAAAATAAAAAATGTGATCGTATTTAGAGAGGAAAAAAATCAACGGCCAATTACACCATAAATAATCACACGTACTTGTTTGGTATTCGCTGTGTGACAGTTCTCCTCTTCTAAATCAGCATAGAGATCGAAATCATCGCCATCATCCGATGGAGTAGGAGTAACACTCATTTTCTAGCGTAGCAATTCTAATATATTGCCTTTGGGATTTGGGAACAGTTTCAAATCACGTATAAAAGTTAAACTAGTAATTCGAAATTCAATTCAAAAGACAGGCACCGAAACGGAGACATGGAGACATAACCAAGAAATGGCGGAGCGGAGGTAAACAAAGACAAAAGACGGTTGTGTTGTGCTCTGTGTTTTTGTTTTTCTTGTGCTTGTACAACTACAAGGCGGTGAGGCAATCAGTACCGACAGAAGGCGGAGAATGATGTAAACATCAATTTGCCGTCGCTACCGCTGACCGCTGTCCCTCATGATTTTGTTTTTTAAAAAGAAATTTACAAATGTATGGTAGTAATGCTTATTTTTGCGGATGCTTTCGTACTTAGAACTTCGCATTCCGTCGTAGGCGGCGACCTGTGGCTACCTCTGTGTCTCATTAAATTCTATCACTTTATTTTGGTTTGAATTAGACAGCAAGGTTATGTTAAACGTTTGAAGACTTAAAAGTTCTGAAGATGGTGCCTACATTTGTTCAAATATCATTTTCACAGTTTTAAACCTGAATAAATTGTACTTTTCGTCGTAAATTTCACGTGTAAGTAACTGAGCTAACCTTGCTATCAGTGTACACAGTGTAGTTTTTCTCTCTTTAATCTCTCTCAATTTTCACGTTTCTGTACTTTTTAGGAAAAATGGAGGTGGATCTGACAAGTGACGATGAAATTGCTCCTGCCCCTAAAGTTGTCGCACCAGTCTCGGCTAAACTCTCGACAGCAGTAAAACCATCTACAGTTGAAACTGTTGACCTGTCTGATGATGACGACATTATATTTGAAACAAATGCAGCACCACAATCAAAGCTTAATACACCCCCAGCCGTTAATGTCTCCAGTAAACCTGATCTTCTTAAAAAGGGGCCCCCTAAGGTATTTGGAACTCAAACTCCGGACAAAGTTATGGAAGTGGATGATGATGATGACATCATTGAAGTTGTTGAACCCCCTAAAAGTCACCCCCTAAAAAGTACCCCAAAACCCAAATCTTCTAGTGAAGTTCTACCAGTCAAGACTGCAACTGGTATAAACAAGTTGACTGCTGAACCCAAGGTACCTTCCACTGATGTTGATATGGATGACATCATTGAAGTAATAGATTCACCTGATCCTCAGAAAAGTGATAAAACAGGTTTTTCCAAAGAAAAGTCAATTTCAGTACAGAAGCCAGTGACATCAAATGTTATCAAAGCTGGTCAACAGTTGAAAGAGACAAGCGGAAGTAAACCTGCAGATGGCAATGTTACTGAAGAAGAGGTGTCATCACATGCTAAATCAAAGAAAAATGCTGAAGTTGGGACTGAGAGAGACTCTGAAGAAATTTCCTCCAAAATAAGGAAAGAGGGTGAAAGATATGTTGTAGATATAACAGGATCCAAGAAAAAAATAGAAAACAATTGTTTGAACTTGAAATGCCAATCCGGTGAAGATTTGGCCAGTGCTCCTATGTTTGTGATAAGTTATTATGGTTGTAAACTGAAAAAGGGAAAATATGAAGTGTGTGCTGTATGTTTTGACGATGCAATGGATCATTACCAGGTATAGAAAGCTTTTACTACTTTCAACTCAATTTCATCTTTTTGATCAAAATGCTAACAAGAGTTTCTCACTTCTTGTCAGAATCTTGGAAAAAGATTGGTTCTTCATCAACCTCTATTGTCATACGATGATTTTCCTGTAAATGACATTCAAGTGGTTGATCTTGAACCTGACGAAGAGACATCAGATCCTGGTTGGTTGTTAAAACTTCCTCACTCTTAATTTTGTGTTATATAATCTACTTAACACTCAAATTTTACAATTGGAGTACGTTTGGTATGCTTTTCTCCACCTCTTTATGTGTTTTAAACTTTTCAGAGGATCCTCTTCCTTTTTCACTGCTGAAGGATGTGGAAGACAGTTTAGAAGAAGTGCTGAAAGAGTCTTTGTCAAAGTATGATCTGGATTACCAGATAAAAGAAGCTACTGGAATACTTACAGAAAAGATGACTTCCCTTGAATGTAAGTTTTTCAATATTAATATGCCGCTGTTGTCATCTCTTTGGGTATCAGAAACTAATAATTCACATTATTATTTCGGTTAGTGGAAGGCAAGAAGATCGAAGACAACTACGATGATCTACAGAAGGAAATTGATTCTATGCGCCGCATGGTTTACAAATGCCATGACCCTCTGCGAAGGGTAAGTGTCTAATGCTTATTGTGCCCATATGGTTTCTATTGTGCCTTTTTGTAAAATAATAATTTAAAATAATTTTCAGGAGCTCCCAAGTCTTGAGTTAACAGCTTACACTCCTCCCGCATCTTATTGTATGCTAGGGCCTCCACAACCATTCCTGCGGCCCCCAACACAATATCCGGGGCCCCAGAGGGGTGTTGCAATGAAGAAAGTCACTCAGGCCTCCTCTCTGCAACCACCTGCAGCTCTGCGTGATGGACCTGTGAGTGTATTGCGCATATCAAAGCATTGCATCATTTTATTAGACAGTGATTAATATTCTGTTTTTCTTCATATCAGAGCCAAGAAGTTGTAGCAATATCAGAACAGATGAATATACCAAATTTACCCTCATCTCTCTTGCCTCCAATTGGACCGCTTGTTCGACCTAAACCGCGAGCTAATGACATTGTCTATGTCATGAAAATGAGTTTTTTTGGTGTTTGGCTCAAAGGCCGTGTTATGGAAGTTCAACAAATCAACAATACTTCAGGGCCCGCAACTCTCTCTGTATGTAATCTAAATAACCTTGTAATTTGTTGTTCTGTTTATGTGTCCAAATTAATCCAACTTTTGTTTTCCTTAGATGCCTCAAACCATCTATAAAGTGAAAATGGAAGTTCAAGGATTTCGATCCAAATTTTTTATCAAATCTGTACCTGGTCGTCACCTAGCATATCCTAACCCTGCACAAGTTCGTCTTGTTGTTGGTACTCGTGTTATTGCCATTTTCCAAGAAGATGATAGCAACAGCCAAAAGCAAACCAAAGGAGGTTCATATTATTCTGGATTGATTGCTGAACCACCAAAGTCAAATAACAGTTATAGGTAAGAGCAAATTATTAACTGTGCATACTCTTGCACATATAAGCTGTAAACTTGTCCTTATACCTATGATGATGATGAAGAAGAAGAAGAACATATTCTTTTCTTTCTGACAACAACTTTGGTCTAATATTTTCCATTGAAATTTTTTTTTCTCAGGTATTTGGTATTTTTTGATGATGGCTATGCACAGTACGTTCCTCACAATAAAATCCTAGTAGTTTGTGAAAGTTCTCGTAACGTTGTTGATGACATACATCCAGATTCTCGTGAATTTATTCGTAAATATTTGGACAAGTACCCAGAACGCCCAATGGTAAAACTTGCTGCCAACCAAGTAGTTAAAACAGAATGGAATGGTAAACCGGTTTATTTAAAATACATTTATAGTATAGACAGTATGATTGAAATAATTGTCATTGTAATAATTAATAATCCAATTTTTTGGGCAGGTAAATGGTGGATTGCGAGAGTAGTGGAAGTTGACGGGTCACTAGTCAAGATGAGTTTTGATGCTGATAAGCGCACTGAATGGATTTATAGAGGTTCCACTCGATTGGCTCCTTTGTACAACACAGAAATGGCTCAACTTCAGGCTCGGCAAGACACTGCTGCTGGCACAGGCTCAATTAGTAGAATGCGTGGAATGGGTGTGCGGAGGGTAAGTTTTCTGCCATTCCTGAATGGTTCTGATTACCATCATTTACATGAAACTGTTCTAGATAGATACAGGGTACCATGGTTTTCTTTCAACTCAAAATTTGTCTGTAGGAAAATAAGCCTTATGTGGAATACACTCGAAATGTTGGTGCTGAAGATGAACCTAATGAACCTCTTGGTAAATTTTTAATGATTTAAATTTAACATTTATATTTGTTTTCTTTGATTTACCTCAAAGTTTTGTTGTTTTGTTCTTTTGCAGTTTCGGCTCCGACTACTGTACGAGCTGTTGCTAAAAAGAGTACATCTAAGAAACAAGAAACTACTCCTTCCCCTGCCTCCCCAATAAAATCTTTTGGATCCTTGATCCCTCAAAATGTTGGTGATGTCAAGGTATTTATGCTATCACTGTTGATGTTATCCGCAATCATAGTTTCTAGATGGATCTCTCTCTCTCATTTCTTTCTTGTTTGCAGGAGTTGCAACTGCCTAAAGGTGCCCCTATGCCAAAACGTTATCAAGCCCACAACTGTAATCATAATTGTATAGACTGGGTAAAATATGATCCTTTAAAAACAAAGGGATACAATCCTTTATCAATACCTCTGTATTGTGGATGGCAGAGGTAAGTTGATTAAAAACAGAAACGCTTTTTTTAGACATTCTTTGAGTCATGTACTTACTGCATTTTTATGAACAGGGAACTGCCAAAATTCAGAAAAAAGAGTACCATCATGTACACAGCTCCATGTGGAAGAAGGTTACGCAACATGGAAGAGCTCCACAAATATTTACGTCTTTGTAGATCTGCCATGTCAGTTGACTTGTTTGACTTTGACTTTTGGGTAAACGCCCTCTCCGAATTCACTCTCACAGACAAAGTCAAAAAGTTTATGGTTCAAGATGTAAGTAAATGGTTTTTCCTTAATTGCGGAATCAAATGCATGTATACCTTAAGTATAAATTTTATCATGTAGTCATGATGTACTTTTTTTTTTCAGGACATGTCGCATGGAAAAGAAAATGTAAAGATACCTCTTATTAACTATGTGGACTACCAACTGCCAAGTAATTTGCAGTATGAGACTCAACGGAAACCTTATGAGGGTGTTCACCTTAATACTGATGCAAATTTTCTTTGCGGCTGTGATTGCACTGATGATTGCCAGGTTGGTAATTTTGAAATCTATTTCTGCCACTTCTACCAGTTTGATGGATAGCTTTTTGTATGAAACTTAACACCTCACAGGACAAAGATAAGTGTGCATGCTGGCAACTCACCATTCAAGGGTCCTCATTGTGTCCTGGTGGTGTGGTTGACCCAAATGTTGGGTACTACTACAAAAGATTGCAGGAACGAGTTATCACTGGAATTTATGAGTGCAATCAACAGTAAGAGATTTAATTAAATGAATATAGTGTTTGAAAGTTAATTTACTTCCCTAAGTTTATTTATGTAGTGTTTGTTTTCATAACAAAACTCTTATTTAAATTTTAACAGATGCAAGTGTTCAAAAAGAACCTGCTTGAATAGAGTTGTGCAACATCCATTACAGCTCAAATTGCAGTTGTTTAAAACTCCAAATAAAGGATGGGGTCTTCGTTGTGTAAATGATATCCCAAAGGGAACATTTATTTGTATTTATGCTGGCTATCTTTATACTGAACAGACTGCAAACAAGGTATGTGTACTAACTCTAACCAGTCTTCTGTATACATATTACTGTATTTACCCGTAAATAAGCCGCCCCCGCTTATAAGCCGACTCTCTTCTCGCGAGGTGTCGAGTTACGGTTTTGAGGCCCGCGAAACCGTTCTAAAAGGGTCGGCTTATTTGCGGGTAAATAGGGTATTGAAATTAAAGAGGATTTTTGAAAAATCAAATCTTTTTAAAATTTAGATTGGAGAAGAAGATGGTGATGACTATCTAGCAGAATTAGATTACATAGAAGTGGTGGAGCGTATGAAGGAAGATTATGAGAGTGATGTTGAGGATGAATTCCCTGAGGAGGATGAACCTGCCTCTAAGTCTCGATGTATGTTATAGAATTTTATCCAAACAATATCTTATTCCTTATTATTTTTGCTTACCGGTATAATTTTTCTTTTTTTTTCTTTTCAGATAATGATAATGATAATAGAGTGAGTAAAAGTAAAAATAAAGATGATGTGGATGCAGATTTCAGAAGTGCGTGGAAATCTTCTTGTGACAGTGGCTCAGATGATACTATCAGGTAAATTTTTTGAAAAGTCTTCAGTTTGACAATAACAGTAGATGTGTAAGTTTATTCCCATTTCTTCTAACTTGCTGAAAATTTATAGGTCCCGCTTAAGAAAACGAAGTGCAGCTGAACTTGAATCAGCTGATGACAAAAATAGTAATGTTTCATTTTATTTTAATATTTATTGTACCTTAGTTTATTCTCCCTGATGCTAAATATCTGTCTTTCTTCTGCAAAGGTGAGAAGTCGACCAAAAGACGAGAATCCTCGCGAGGTGGTAGTACTGGGGATGATGGAAGTGATGATGAAAAACTTGGTAAGATACTAACCTCGTAATTTTTCTATCTAGAATTCTTATTAAAGATTTAGTAACAGGTGTTTTGAAAGCTGTTGCATACTGTTAAGTTTGACAGTTTGATTTCATGGGAAATTTAAATGTTTAAGATTTAAAAATTATGGGTATCATATGCATATTGACATGCAGACTTTTTTTTACAGAGCGTCAACCATCCAGCTTCACTCCTAAACCTTTGAAGAAACCAGGCTCATCTTTTGAAGAACCCATCCATCGCTTTCAGTCTGTTCGAAAATTTTACGGCCCAAATGAAAGGGTTTACATAATGGATGCCAACAAAGTTGGCAATATTGGGCGTTATCTGAACGTAAGTCAATTTAGAATTATTTTTAATTTTATTTTATAGTAAATCCAACAGAAGTTAACACTGGTAATTTACTTTTCTTCCTCTAGCACTCTTGCAGTCCAAATGTTTTTGTTCAAAATGTGTTTGTTGATACACATGATCTCCGTTTTCCATGGGTTGCCTTCTTTGCTTTGACTTACATTAAAGCAGGTTCAGAGTTAACCTGGGATTACAATTATGATGTAGGCAGTGTGCCAGGGAAAACAATCATATGTGAATGTGGCAGTATTGAATGCCGAGGACGATTGTTGTGAAAATTGTGAAAATGTTACCTAATTTATTTACTTATTTGATCTGTTTCAAGATCTAATTGGGTCTAGTTGTATTTTAGATAAACTGTATTAAGTAAAGATTCCTTTCTCATTCTGTTATCTCTTTTATTTTATTGTTAAACAATTCTTTTTTTAAAAAAAAACAGAGGTTGAATAAATAAGAATCCTGACTGAGATTTTGAGGAAGTTTTTGAAGTTTTAACTTTAAATCCAAATTAAGGTTTACATTACACTACGCTATAGTCGTACCAAACGAGCACTAGTTTGGTCGTACTGACGAAAGAACAGCACAGTTGCCTATCTTCACCACACGTTTACCGTGCTGTTCGTCGTTCTTTCGACAGGAAGACGATGAAGACAATATACTGAAACCAAAAAAAAACAACTAAAACATGCTTGATCCCGGAGCATCAGCTGATCAGCCGACTCAAGACCGACTGCCGGGCCGGCTTGAAAACCGAACATCGGATCGGCCTATCCCACCTCGCTCTCCAGAATGGCAGACCTATGAGGGCAGAAGGGAGAACCAATTGTGTTTGTGTGTGTGTGTTGTGGTGTTGTGTGTGTTGTGTGTGTGTGTGTGGTAGGCGGCAGTAGCCGTCTAAGTCAGTCGAAATGTACTCACAATACATTTCCGTTTTAATATTTATATTTTCATCATTATTAAGTAATTGCAATGGTAAGAAAAAGTTGTACTTTTATTTTGTAACGGTTGTGTACTTGTGCTACTGTCATATTTCTGTTTGCCGATTTCTGTTCATGCATTGTCAGAATGACACTATATTTATTACTTTATAGTTAGATGTAACGTTAATTGGCTTGGGATTTATAACCAATACTAATGATCGGTATTATGCTTTCTCAAACCTTTTATTGTAGTTATGCCGTCGAATTACTTCATTTTAGTACCTAACCTAATAAAAATTCCCCTGACAGTTAGATTGTTTATCTATTATTCATTCGAATAGGAGGCGTTCTTTTATTCCCATGTATCTTCACTTGTAATCGTAAATTTTCTTGCTTTTCTTCCTTAATTAATCTAACTTTTGTCTGAAAATAATTAAAATATACCCTGTTGATGACATACCCCGATGATGCATTACTATACAATCTACTTTGATCTTCTTTTTACCAGTCAACAGTCAGCGGTTAAAAGAATCAATGTATGAAAATATTGACGGTTCATATGCCTGTTTTCGGCGTTTGAATGGCACACATCAGTTTGGATGCACATGTAAGCTTCTTGCATTTATGTTTTTTCCTCACGACTACATTCATTTTTAATAATTCCTCTGACTTCTTACTACAGCTGCTCGTTCAGGTAATGTTGGAGTTGTTCATATTATTGAAAACCAGTCTGATGTAGACTGGCTAGTAAAGGATGCCTTGGCACCACCATATGTTGCTGTAGTGCAGCCTGCTATGTTTTCAAAGTAAGTGATGTTACTTTGTGTTACTTTGTACTTAAAGCAAAATCTGTCAACTCTTTCATCATCAAGTACCATTTCATTCTTTCTTCTTTTGTAGATCTTTACTGCTATCTCTGCAGACCTCTGAAAAAGTAAATGGAGTGGCTGTAATAAACAATGGGTTTGTTGAAAGACCTGAATCATTTACACATGAAGATTCATGTCCTAATCGTTACTCCGGATTATCTCTACGGCTGGGTCAAACATGTGGTATTCAAGAGCAGAGTGTGTGGAATCCTAGTGGTACATCTATCCTTCTAATGGATTGGAAATTCCCCATCTTCTATGTCACAGACCAATCTCAAATTGACCATTTGTATAATGTCAGTGTTAACTTAACATTTTCACATCTTACATATTCTCTGATTAGCCTGTATCTGAAAATCCTTTTTTTATATTTCAGTGTTATAGAAAACATAATGTGGTTACTCACCCTGCTGACCAATTGGATAGAGCTTTGTGTGCCTTAGAACTTCGATCACACATGTTTGCATCTGGAAACTCTAAGAAATGCATACAGAGGAACTCATATAAGACTCTTTTCTCTCAAAGTAAGATACATCTAGTGTTGGAGGCCTGCTGTGAAACTTTTCTAACTGGCTCCAGTTAATTTAAGATTTATTTAATTTCCAGTGAGCTTTTGTGACCCACTTGGTGGACGAAATGTTTGGCAAACATTATTGCCTCGTTCAACTAAAAAGGAGTTCAGTCTACGGACTGAGAAGCAAATGGACAGTAATGGTTCTATAGCTGTACTAGCTGCTCGCATGGATTCAAACTCAATGTTTGATGGGTTGGTTCCAGCATCTGTAGGAGCAGTGACATCAATTGTAACTTTAATTGCTACTGCTGAACTTCTTCAAAAAATGATATCTCAATCAGATAGCTATGGTAAGGAAAGAAAATTTAAAATTTTTAAAGAAACAACACAGTTTTTTAAAAAAATTACTATTTATATTTTCCCCCTTTGATTACAGAAAATAATGTATTGTTCCTCTTGCTCTCTGGGGAATCTTATGATTATATTGGCTCCAGCCGAATTGTTTATGACATGAAGCAAGGAATTTTCCCAGTAATACCAGACCCATCTGTTGCCCAACCACCTCCAATAGGATTGCACCACATTGGGCCATTTATTGAGCTAAGCCAGCTGAGTAGGCCTAAGCCGGGTGAATCACTTCATGTACATCGGTTGAATGCATCCACTGAGGTATGACTTTATCTCGCCAGGAGGTTTTTGTCTGTCAGTTCTACACATCTAAATTATGGATCTAATTGTGAAATTCATGTAACAGACCAACAAGCTAATATCCAACCTTCAAAGATATGGTAAACATTGGGACATTCTATTCAAAGACTTACCCCCATCCAAAAATTTACCTCCAGCATCATTGCAAACTTTTCTGGCAGAAAAACCAGATATTCCGGGGATTATTTTAACAGAACATCCTATGCAATACACAAACCGGTGAGTCCTGTTTGCTTTCAAGTCTTACATGCAATTTAATTGCGCAATATATGGCATTGGTTAGACTATACACTTCGGAAATAATTGTAATATTTTCCTTACAGTTATTATCACAGTGTTTTTGATGACATCAATAACTTGAACTTCAAGTATGCTAATGGATCACAAGTACCTGATGATTCCATTCAATCATTCTTAACAAACTTGACAAACACTCTTGCAAACTCTCTATTTGAACATGTGTCTGGGAAGCCTTATCCTGGTGCTGCTCTTGCTGACCCTGCTCTGGTTTGAGTTCATTTTTAAAATTATTAATGAGTGTGTTAAGCAGCAATTATTCAGAATATCCTTTATCGTCAGTATTATTTTTAGGTGGATGAATTACTCTACTGTTATTTGGAGCAAAGCAATTGTTCCCTGTTTCAATCTGCTGGCAATTCAATCTCCCCTGCCAAGCCACTTTCATATTATGTTGGAGTTTCACATGTGCCAACGCCAGTGCCTGTGCTATCAGGCTCTGCCTTGGCATTGCTGACTGGCAGTCCAACATCTTATAATGAGACATATTGTCACAATAATGTATCTACTGACCAGGTAGGCACAATGTTTGTTTAGTTGTGCTTTGTTAACATTTTCTGTTTCACCTATGTCAAATTGTTTGTGTTAATCAAATTGCAGGTTTACCAGTACATTTGGGCAAGCTCCAAATGGAATGATTCAGCCAGCCCCAAAGTATGTCTCCAGACAACTATGAACTTTTCTGCTGCTGTTAGCCCTGCATTTGTTATTGAAGGTCAGCATTTGTCTCAGTTTTGGATTAATTAAACCTAATTATCCTCTTGTATCAAAACACTCTCAGGGTGGCTGCACAACCAGGAAGTCAGGGGAAACGTATTGGTCTGGGTAAAGTCAGAATAGTTGAACGCTAGTTAGTCTAAACGACACAGTCTTTCACCTTGTGTGTTTTTTGGTTATCAGTGACATTTTAAAGTTCTTTGTGGCAGAAAAGCTGCGCAGACGACATCTCAAAAGTTCTGGGAAATCGTGTTGAAAGTCAGGAAAATATTAGAGAATTTAAAAATTAAGATTGCATGGCCACCCTGACAGTAACAGCAATATGTCTCTATCTCTCTTCTACTCTTTTGGCAGGATATGACATGACCTCTGGTCAGTACAGCACTTGGACGGAGTCAGTGTGGCCAGAATTAACTGCTAAATTATTTATAAAGCCATCTTTCCGGCAAGAAGTTATGACTCTGTCTCTTGGAATAACTGTACTTGTACTGTCATTTGCTGGAGTTCTATTTATAAAAGTTCGCAAAGAAATTCTTTTCAGTCCGGGGTAAGTCTTTTCTGTTAAATAATAAAAGCATGGGAGAAATTTCTTTTGCAAGGCTGACATTGTTTATGTCCAATTGTTTCTTTTTACACTCTATCTCATTGTGTGCGTGGTGTGTGCGTTTGAGCGCTGCTTAGTGTTTTTGTTGATAAATAATAGTTATTTTTTGTAAAATTATATGGGGTTTCATGAGTTTATCTGTAAATATACAGATCACCTCTTCTAATAGCATGTCACTTTGCATGAATGAGGTATTAATTTTTATCCTATATGTTGATACATACTTCTGTGTTTGTGTACGTTGTATACACATACATACCTTTTTAAGTTTTAAAAAAATTTCTTCTTTTACATACTGTGTAAGATGTCTACTTTAAGGGCATGCATAACGGGTGCCTCAAACTTTGTTTGTCTGCAATCTGCTGTCAATTTGCTGTTTGCTTTTAAAGGAACCGGTTAGAGTTGTTTATACCAGACAGCGCGGCGCCAGTGTGATGTGTGATGGTTCAGCACCGTTCGCCCCCCTTGCACGCGCCAAGGGTCCATAATGCAATGCACAAATCACGCTAGAAGAGCCATCAAGATTTTAAAGTTATTTAGTTTAAATTTAATATATTATGCTTATTTAAACACACTCCTTGACATTTGAGTGACAATAGCAAACTGACAGGTCAGACTCAGTGGACACACAAAGTGTGACACCACTGAAATATCTTCCTAAATTTGTTCTGATGTGAACTTAAACACACAAATACAGAATGTCTAAACTCTTGCATGCAGATAAATCAAATACATAATTCTGAAGTATTGTTAACTACATTTGTTGCATGACATGTGTGAAGCTTTTACTGATTTTCACTGATTTTACATAATCAGACCAGTATAATTTTAGTTAAAATTATTGGCCTGTAACAGTAGACTGGTGTTTTCTTATGTAGTGGGCTACTGTCTGAACAGAGCGAGCACTGAAGATGAGCGAGCACCACTTATTGCCACCCAAGCCGTTGGTCAGGTGTTATGCTGAAAACTTGTGTGCACAGAAGGTAGGTTAAAGCCTAATTAAATGCAACCCTTCTCTTTTGTTTGCATGTACCTTTCTGCTTTTTTCCATTTGGAGATTGGTAGTACCTATATTGACTTGGATCTTGTTCTCACATGGATTAACCTCATAATGTATCTGTGATGGAGCTGTATTTGACTTCCAATGCCAATGATATGCTTCTTCCTTTGCTTTTTCTTCAATATGTGTCAGATTTGTTCCTGTGTATATTCATCAGGTTTTATTTTTTCATCCTGTCGTGACTTGTAATTATTTGTTTTTCTTACTCTGCATATTACATTATTGATTTCTTCCTCTTTTGTTTACTGGTTGTATGTTTATAATAATGTTTTTAGTGATCTCTTTTAGTGATGCTTTACTAGAATACAACTTTCACATTGATTTTCCTGTTTTTTCTATTTTCAGATTACCAAGCACATAGGAATACGCTGCAAACCAAATATCTATGGTCACATTCCATCAAAACTCCAATGTGGCTCAGTTGTAATGTCTTGTGTTAACATCTTACATTACATTAGCTCTGGGATAGAAAATGATGTTTGGTTTGCACCTCGGAAATAAAAGGCATTCTCTTTGCACAGAAAATTAATGTTCGGAGCAAAAAGAGCCAAGTCTTATGGTTGTGCAGGCATAGTTTTATTTATTTTTTCTGTGATGTCCTTCACTTAATTTTTTGTATTAATTTTAAAAAATTGATTTTTTAAATTGTAATTAATGTTTTTACTAAATTCTGAGCTAACATTTTTTTCACATTATGTGTCCCTACAATTAATCTATTTTGGTACTTTCTGATATGACAAATCATACCAGTTGGACAGTTCTTATTTGTCCAATTCCAAGGATATTTTATGGATGGAATTTGTTCTACTTTAATACTGCAAGTAATGCATCACCTTAAGAAACGACATAGTTCTAGTATTAATGCATTGTATTAGTTAAAATTCTATGATAACAAAAGAAAAAGACTGTTACTGTTAGTATGTATCACAGTTATAATCCATCTTTCCTTGAAGAAATGTATGATATATACAAGTTAAGCAAGTTATAAAATTCGTATATGTACTATGGAAGTAAAGTTTTGTCTTGGGAGGTGATTCTGTTAGTGAGTGAACTGAAAATACTTCTCCATTTGCAGCTGCTATGTAAAGAATTTTTTTGATTTAAGAAATCAATCAGCTGTTGGTTTGTAAACGATGTCCTGTGTAATTTAACGAGGTATGTGGTAAATCAACATTAAATTGTACTTTCAATTGTGATACCCAACATTTAAGTATTTGATGTAATCCAAGAAGTTATACTGAGAATTATTGTTAAATACTTCATCCTGTCTGTTCTGGAGAGTGTTGATACAATTTATCTAATCTGTGTGTTTTGAACTTGCTTCCTTTAAATCATCAGCCATAATATTAATAAGAGAAATTACAAATCGTCCAATTTCTTCCAGGTTTGTTTTATTTCTTCTCGTTGTTA